GCGTTCTCCATCCATGCTCAAGGTGCGGCGAAGCACTTTCCTGCCAATCGATCGGTAAAATATCGGAAACCCCTTGGCATTGCTGATTCCTGAATTTGTCTATCATTTCAGCTCCCTCTTTTTGCTCATCAACCGTTCAACATTGAAATATTTTATCGGCAGCTTCGCCTATTTCCAGCAAGTGTCGCAATATTGTCCACGCGCCACCCCCGTGTGCATGGCGCGCGGCGGGGTGCCAATGGTAAATGCGCATGTCAGTCATTATTTCCTGATCGGTACTTTTGGTGCATTGCTGTGCTGGGCCACCATCGCCAGTAACGGATTTCGGACAACTCCAAAATATGACTTCCGCCGAGTTCCAATATCCATCGTTGAAGGTCTCTTCCGCCATCGTGCGCCGCAGGTGGGTTGAAGGGTTATCTTCCGGACATGCAGAAGAATATTTTTCAGACGTTCGTCTACTGCACATGTCCCCCATGCTCTGGATCGGAAAAAAAAGATCTGGCATCCTTCGAAGATTGAGTGGAGCGTCCAAACGGATGTTCCGCAGGACTGCCTTGTCCAATTTTGGCCCGAAATCTATTCTGCCAATTTATCCTCTTCTACTTTAGGAGGTAACGTCAATTGGACACATTGCTCCTTTTCCGCATGCTCTACGATCGCTGCCTTTCCCCACATGATGCGGTCAGCAATCGTCCTCGGTTCCCCCGACACCGCGCGTTCACGCCGCAATGAAGAATGTTGCCCAATTCGGGATCACATGTTCCGCGGACAGAACCGGTCGTTTCGCACTGTCTTAAAGCAACTGATCCGCCAACCACGCGTCTCCGCTCGATGCAGCGCGCAACCGACCGCAAGCTTCGCGACGCACGGATGTGTCATTGCTCCTTATCTTTCGCAACAACTCGTCATGGTCTTCTCCTGGCCACAAGATAGTCTTGCTGTAGAGGCGTTTAGCCAGCTCTCCAGCATTCAAGGGCTTCAGGGAGATGACTGATGCGGCAGTTCGACAGGCCATCTGCGAATGCCATCCGGCCAAGCTGGAGGATAGATCCTCCTCTTCTTGCCCAGTGGCGTCGACTTGTTCCCAGGGCACCCTTCTTCAATTGCCAATGTACCGTGGGGGAAACGGCGCTTAGCACCCTAACAAGTACTACTGGGCGTGCCCGGTTCTTGATTGAACTCTTGGCTGTGCCAGGTCCAACCGGCTCCCCTGCGCCGCTCGGACTCTGCGCGGCTGCGCCGGCAGGGCTAGCGGTCGATGCCGCTCCAGCGGGGCTGACCTGCAATTGGTCATCTTGCCTCGTAACGGGCTGCGCCCCCGAGGTTCGCCACGCTGCCCGCTTGGCAGACTGAGGGGGGGGGGGGGGGGGGGCGAAAACTGGGTCGAGATGCTTCCAAGGGCTCCATCGCTTGTTGCATCAACTGATCAATGAGGACCTCGTCTCTGGTCCGACGCATATCTCTTCTCTCTGCCCCCAGGAGGCGTGCCAGGAATGTAAGGCAAGCCCCATCTTAAGAAAGACATGAAGCTCGCTCCAACGAAAGCATTTCTCACGCCCTTTTTCTTTCGAAAAGAAATCACTCCACTCTTGTGAGAACAATGATAACCGCGCTCCTTGTCCTGTCCCAGTCGCGTTGACAAGGGATTTCGTAATTGGATCAGCGAACGGGAGCGTTCCCAATATCGAAGTCGGAGTACCGTTCTCAGTTGGACACCAGTTGGTGCGACACATGTTCCTCATAGGTAGCTTCTGTCTTCGCAAGCCCGTCTGCTCTCTGTTCATTTTCGCAGATCCACCCCTGGGCAGCTGAGCCGCCAGAGGGTTGACAGAAGAACCAAGCCGCAAGCTGCGCTGCTTTCATCATGCGGTCAGCCAATATTTCACCCCCTTGAACTTGGACCATTGTCCCATCTCTGTCCAATGTAGCAGATTCATGTTTATCGGAAAAGTGGTGCGCATCGTGCGGGGTGCGACGCGATTTCCGATGCAAACATGCGCCGTCCAGAATCATTATTTTAGGCGAAACCCCCGCAGCCTTGCATCGTTCAATGCGCTGAGTCATGCGCGCCCGCAGCAAAATGGCAATGTCATCCCACTCTTTGAATGTACCACTTTCCGACTGCCAGCATCTATGATCTCCGCCAATGTAAAATATCTGTACGGCTCCCGTCTTGGGGCGTTCAACCGCCTCATCGATCATTCTCTCGGTTGTTTCAAAGAAGGGACCGAGCAATGCTATCAACATTTGGGCCGCAGCATTATTCTTCTTCGTTCCGGTCAGTCCCATGACGTTGCATTTTTTGCCATCAAAAATATCGTTCATGGACCAAAGTATGTATTGTATTGGTGTGTGTGTGTTGGCCTGGGATGAAACTTCCCATGTGATTGGAAACCTGGTTATTCCACAAATCTTGCTTCATCATGTACTGCAGGAGCGTCGGTCCGCACACGCCCCCCTGTATATCTGCGTCCGTTCCCTGAAGACTATCCCGCATTAGAAGTTGTGGGCTCGCGGAACCACCAAGCCTCCTGTCGCATTACCGAACTTACACGTCGAATCAGAGACAACATGAATGGCTGCGCGCCAAAATTTGCATCCTTTGTAGGAGGTTTGGGCCAAAGGCCGGAAGAAATCCCGTGGGGGTCTGCCGGTCCGCACCATGGCGGCCAGGTCCGCGCCGCTACAGGGAATCCACCCGTGGCCATGCACCTCGGCCAATTGCGTAATGGCCTGACACAGCTCCTGTTTATAAGCAATCCCAGCGACATGTGAAGGGAAGGATCGCCTACGTCATCGTACAGCGCGCTTATCTCCTTAATACAACGAGCCCATTTATTTGGTACTTCGCCGTCATTCATGGGTGCGGCTGTGCCGGCCCCTGATTGCTCCCTGCGTTGTAGCACATTCCAGGACTCCACGCGCCAAAGAGGGCGGAGCGGACACACCACCTATTCCCCCCGAGGGAGGAGGTTCAGGTGGGCCTGGATCAAGAGGTTGGTCACCACCTCCACCCCCATTCGGTGCACTAGGGATCTGTCCGTTGTTTCCACCGCCGGATCCAGATCCAGACGACGTTCCCCAAACCCCGGCTGTGCCGGCGGTGGGATAAGTAGGGGCAGCATTTCCGCTCGGAGCGCCATTTGCGGCACCAGAGCTCGAGGAACCGCCTCCCCACGGTGCATCAACGGGCACATCTGAAATTGGAATGTCTGAAGGGATCGCTTCCTCCTCAGCGTGCATGGGCCGTAACACCTAGATTACACCACCCTGACTGCACCGCATAGAGGGCAAGACATCACTGAGTGGGGTCCACGCTGGCTAACACCTTGTAAGGAACTGGGTCTGCGGGCCGCTCTGGACGCCATGTGGCCGCCGTCGCCGCCTCGTCGCCGCCTGTCACCTGGACCTGCGGGCCGCTCTGGCCGCCATGTGGCCGCCGTCGCCGCCTCGTCGCCACCCGCCGCCTCGTCGCCGCCCGCTTTGCATTGCTTCGAATTGTTTTGCTTTGCTTGACATTGCTGTGCAATGCTTTACATTGCTTTGTATTGATGTGCGTTTCTGTGCCTTGCGTCGCGCCATTGCATTGCAATCGCACGTCTTTGCGATCGCATTGCAATGCACTGCGTTTCATTGATGTGCATTGCTTTGCATTGCTTTGCCGTGCTGTGCCTTGCTCTGCATTGGTTTGCATAACGTTATATTACTTTGCATTGCTTTGCGCTGCTTGCATCGGCTTTGCATTGAGCGTCGATTTGCGTTGTATTTGTTTGCAGTTATTGTCATTGTTGTACGTGCTTTGCATTGTGTTGCATTGCTTACCATTGCGTTGCATCGATCTGCAGAACTCTACATTGCGTTTCATTGACTGTCACTGCTACGCATTGCGTTCGCATTGCTTTGTCTTGCTGTGCATTGCGTTGCATTGCGTTGCCTCGCATCCCTTTGCTTTGCATTGCTTGGCATCGCATTACATTGCCTTGCATTGCATTGCTTTCCCTGCGTCACGTTGCATAGCTTCGCATTGCTGTTGCATTGCTGTGATTATCATTGTGTTACATGGTTTTGCCTTGTTGTGCATTGCCTTGATTTGTTGTGCATTGTTTCGCACCGCTTTGCCTTGCTTTGCATTCCTCTGCATCGCATTGAGTTGCTTTGCATTGTTGACATCGATTGCACAAGGTGGTTTGCGTTTCACCACCTATCCAGACACGGACACAGCATTGGTTTTGAGAGAATGGGCAGGCGAGAGGACGGGAACGGCTGAAGGCATGGGGACAGATGCAGGCAAGAAGAAGGTGAGGCGGAGGGTGTCTTCATCGGACTCTCGTTCAGTTTTTGGCGCCTCTTTGACCCTGTTGTATCGTCAGGGGCCTAGCGTCCTGAGGGCTCCCTGGGCGCCATCTGGGGGCTTCGTCGGAACTCTGGGTGGAGTCGTTTGAGTGTGGTGGGGGTCTCTTGGAGCCCTTTCAGGCGCTCTTGAACGCCCCCCCGTCCCACGGGGGCACGTGTCGACGCCGACGCCACCGTCGCCGCTGTCGGCGTCGATGCCGCCGATGCCGCCGGGCGGCGGTAACGCCGTGGCCGACGCTGGCTCCGACATCGGCGCGGCGGCGGCGCCGCCGACGAAAACAACCACAGCGACCGCGACGTGTCAGAGGCGCCGCGACCGAGGGCGAGCCCGACGACCACGACAACCATTCGGCGGCGCGCAAACATGGATTAGCGATCCATGGATTTGGCGCGCGGTCGCCAAATCCATGGATCGGGGGAGGTGCCTTTCCCAAAATGCAGCCGGTGCCGCCTCGCTCGGCGGCGGAAATCCGAGATTCCCTACGGAAACGGGACCCGTCGCTAATCCTCGCCCCCCCTTGATCCACGCTTGCGATCGCCTGAACCGTGGCCACGGCGGCGACTGCCACGGCGACGCCGCCGGCGGCGGCGGCTGCGGGGACGATGGCGGCGGCGGCGTCGACGGCTCGCAGAGGGCTCAGCGC